GGGGGGGGGGGGGGGGTAGAATTGTCACTCAGTTATGCTACAATGTTAACAGAGTACAAAAATCAATTGATAAACTGGCTATCTTAACTAAGGAAACAGAAATGTGGCAGTAGTAGAGCTAGGAAAAGTAATGTGCTCCGAAGCCCAACTGGAGCAGCCTCTGCTTCGTAAGGATTTAAGGTCTCCCTAACACAGAACACTGCTTGAGGAACATGGAATTCCTCATCACAAACAAGAGTAGGCTTAAAAATCATGACAAGAAAGCAAAAACCTCTGTGCACTTTCTCCCATTTCCAAATTTAGCTCTCCTACAGCCATTTAATAATCCCACTGTATTCCTCAAATGGGATAGGAAGAATGATGCCTTGGAGGGGAACTACTTATTTCTTGGGAATTATGCAGCATCGTGACATCTTGGCAAAAGTAAGATAGGCACATTTGCTGCAGCAGCAAACTATGCAGAAACTGGGCCTAGAAGAGTATGACTTTCATTCATCAACCAGTACCTATGACCATTTGCTTGGGTTTTTTTTAAATACGATTTGCAAATGGCTGCTCTTCAATTAATTTGAAAAAGTTTCCCCAACTCTCTTAATGTGAAATGACATGTACTGTACATAAATTTGCATTAAAATATCTGGAATTTTAAGTGCTCCAAATGAAAACAGAGATTTACATGAATTCTGGCTAAAAAAGGGGAGAAGGCGGTCAATAGCTTCAAACTCTGCAGTTATTCAGTAAATCTTAACAAAAGGCAGTGTCAAGTCAAATCCACTGTCTCAAACACTTCCACAGTTGTCAAATTCAGCTTGCTGCAAAGTTAAACTCCAACTTGGCTTCCTAGCTCCACAAGCACTTTAAAACCATATGAACAGGTATTACTGCCAACAGAAGCAGGTCTGATCTTTCTCTGCCCCAGTCTTTTGCTCTCACTCTTTCCTTACATCAACATAAGAATTTGTGCAAGTAAATGCTAATTCATGTAAGGAATTAATCCAAGTAAAAATAACCCATCTATATTCATCCAGCATCAGTTCCTTAATCCATTTACCACATGACTACAAAAACACTCATGGCAGCAGATGAGATGCACCAGAGCAGCACAGAGTGGGAACAAACTGACAGACAGTAAGAACTGACGTCTTTAATTATGCTTTTGTTTAAGGTAACTGCTGGTTTATGTGCTTAAACTTTGGTTTCAGTCTCTTTTTACTTCTAGTATTTATTAAACTGGTTTTAAAAAAAATTAAAACCAGTGAACTCTCCTGTGCAAAAAACCTCTGAAACTGATTTTAAACCCTGTTTCCTTTAGTAGATCACTATCTAACATTAAATGAAAGTGATGGATTGTTTCATATTCAACACTTAAAACAAGACTGGTAACAGAACAATTTAATCTGAACCTGCTGTATTATCAACAGCACTGTTAAAGGTATTTTTCGGAAAAACAGAGATCCAGTTTGACAAACAATACATGAGATTTCATTCAAATCGGAATCCTAATTATAGACAAAGCAGAAAAAAGACAAATTAAGACTGAACAAGCAGATTTCATTTCTTACACCTATTTAGAAACATCCCTGAAATCCATGTAGGCTTCTCTCTACTTCCCCAAGGCCAGACCTTCCATTATTCCAGTTCAAAGCTTTCCTCACAGAAGTCACCAATGCACCAAAATTTTGAAGCCCTATCCCCCCTGCTATTGCAAGACTAGGTTCTACTAAAACTGCTTCCCAGTGTTGAAGCCTACCCAACATTCAGAAGTCGAAAGGAGGTAGAATTTAGATGTACCACAAAGTCCAACACCTAATAGACAACCTTCTTAACTATCATCCCTTGACGAGACACAATCTTAAAGAGTGCTGCTCAGAATACTCCTTGCCCTCACCCCTGACCTCACACCCACCTCGGTGACCCCGCGTGTTCTTCACCACCATAGGGAACTCCAGCACTTCCGCCTCATCAATCATTTTGGCAAAATTCTCATGACCACCTGGCAAAAAGAAAACCAACAACATTATGTGCCACCAATCTGGTGTGGACAAATTGGGGATGTAATTGCCACACATTCCTCCCACCCTTACAGCTTAGATAATGCAGAAAAAACTATCGGTTAAAATACAACTTGGTCATGGAGCATGATCAGACTTTGAAGGTGTTTGTGATCCGTGGGATACTAACTCCTACTAGCTTTGAAATGGAAGACACAAGTTGACAAAGGCCTCTTGATCACAAACCCAAAAGGCTCAATCCAATCTTCCAAATCTGAATGCCCTGATTCTACCATCTTGTTCCAGTTTATCCCTTTTACTTTATCAACTCCCACCTTTTCAAATGTCTATCAGGAAAATAGCACAGACGTTAACACCAGCAGCAGTTCCATCCAAACTACTAACCAGAAAAGCAACATGGAATACAAAGACAATGCATAACCCAGAAAACAGCAAGAACCCAAACCTTGTCACTCCACCTCCCCCCTTTCCAAGACTTAAGTCCTGCACCTCATTCTCCCTATTTCCTGAAGTAGTACTTCAACCTTTTCGTCTCATTGCACCTGTAAAGACCTTAAAGAATAGCTTTTAATGATCATTCACATGATTATGGTTGATACTTCAAGGTTATTTGAGTTCCGTTCAATTCACAGAAGGCTGACCATGGTACAAGAAATACAGAAGAGAAAGTCAGCAAAGGGATGAGACTCCTCTTAACAGCATGTGCAGTAAAGCACAGAAATCAATCCAAGACACTGGTCACAAAGCCAGCAGCAGCCATCACTACCCTGCCATGGATTTTAATGCATGTCATGGAATAACGTGTCATTCAGTACATCCTGTACCTCTTGGCAAAGCCAGCTTTCACTGATAACTTGATACTTGTGTTTAAAAAAAACAAAATAAATAAACAAAAAAGAAACAAAAAGGTCATGCTTCTGTCAAATTCCAGAGGCAGGCATTAAAAGAACTGGCAGGGAGTTATGAACAGAGACATTTTGCAGTTACCCCATCATTTGTGGTCTCCCCCCCCACCCCCACCCCCAAAAAATTAAAACCTCATTCCTTTCTCAATGAGTTAGAGCAACCACATCTATAAAGAAATGGCATGTTTCTCCTCAAATGTGTTTTCAAAGTAATTGATGGAAACCCATGTTTTTGTCAAGTTCCCATTACAAAAGCCTACTGGTGCAACCCTACAAAGGGGAGGAAAGCCCTGATATTTCCCGAGAAAGAAAGGAAGGCTGAGGCATCTTTAATATATTGTAATTAAAAACAGAAATAGCATCAGGGTAGCGCAGACAAATGTTTCCTCTAATCTAGCACTCTGTCAGGAACCACAGACTCCAGCAGCAGGCACAAGAAGTATTAACTGTTCTGGTGGGGAAACAAACCCCAAACCATTGTTAGAAGTTGAACATCAGGGCCTGTACTCTTTTTGTCCTTTCACAATAACTAATACATTTGCAGATATTTTTATTCATATAGAAGCTTAATCTACTTTCAGGTTTTACCAAAGTCTAGATCTTTATAGAATTCTACAACAATTAGTTCCCCAAGTTCTTGTCTGTTGTTTCAGGCAGCTGGAAAAGAGCTCGAAGTGTTTTAGTAATAACAACCAAAGTTAGTTGCTTGGGAGGCTGAGTGACAATTAAAAGTTCTCTTCCTAAAGCATCAGAGCTAATCAACAAAGCCAAAACCAGAACTTGAGTGTTGTGACTTTAATTTCCTTTTCTGGTTACTGAACACTTATATCTGTGGAACTAACCTCATGCTACTTAATTCTATGGATCTCCAAAACCTGACTCATAACTTTTGCACTGTAAAAGCATAAATTGTGATAGGCAACCATACTATCCTTTTGATCCAAAAGCCTTACCATATGAAAATGTGTCTGGAAGAGGCACACCATGACCAGCAAGTTCTTGAAACGTCCAGAATTTGTTGACACAGTTGAGGATGGCTTGGGGACGATTCATCAATCGACAGCCCATCTTCTCTAGGTGGCGAAGGACTGTGATATCACTGTCACTCTGGACCCAAGGTGTTGGTACACGCACAACCACCACTTGTGGGTAAGCAGTAATGAGCTCCCCATTCACGCGGAGACCTAAAGAAGGAAGAGAAGAACATCCCAATCAACCACAAGGTCTTCAGGAGAAGGTAAACAGGAAAAGAAATACCACACTATTAAGTGATGACACCAGCAGTACCAGACTTCGACAGTGAGCATTAAAACAGTACAACTCTCCCTAAAATGCATCTTGTCAGTTATGCTGTTTCATACATGTCACTCTTAACCCACTTAAAACTAGGACTAGGCAAAGACAGACAGTATTAGAGCACACATTCCTGGGTTAAGGACGTTTTTTATAGGTGGGCACGTCATCCTTTCTATGGGTGCTAGATGCACACTACATTCACATCAGCAGTATCAATATCTCAGGAGGTTCCTGCCTCCCACCACTCATTCTTGCCTACATGATACAGTTCACACCTTTCCCAGTCCCAGCTGTACTGATCCCTCTGTTTGTGGCATCACGTTACACAACACATTGCCAAAGTAACAGAGATTAGATATGACCCTCAATAAATCCCCCAAAACAACGGTATTCTTAACACAGATAATTTCAACAAAATTATTTCTAAATACTTAATATAAATCAGATTATCAGCCAACAGGGCAGCACCCTATGTTAGTAAGGCAGGAACTAGAAGGAAAACCAGCTTTGCCACCAAGACCAACATATTACTTAATCATGACCTATGTCATGACTAATCACGACAGACTACATCTCTGAAAAAGAAACACTGAAAGATAGGCTGCAGGAATGGGAATACAAAAGGATGGGACAGGAAGGCATCAAGGTCAGTGAAGGCAGTCTGGTAGCATCTGAGGATGGGAAAAGACAAATAGGATTTGATATTCACATTATTTGCCTCAAAGTAAAACTTTCTGACCAGCATAAAATACACAGCTCACACTGCTATCACATTAAAGGTTAAAAAAAAAAAAAAAGAGATAAAGAGAAGTCAGCTGAGAAATCCCAGTGCATCTGCATTTCTGTGCCTATGGAAGGCCAGCTGTAACTATTCAGGTCTAACCCAAATTAATTACCTGATAAGCTCTATTACAAAGATGTTACTTTTCAAATACAGACTTGCAATAACTCAACCTGAAGACACACACTGCCAGGCAATGTATTTAATTTCAAGGTGCATTTGAATTAATGGGGGGGAGTGGGGGGCAAAGAGAAGAGAGGGTGGCCCCCACTCTGTACTTCCCGTTTTCTTTTCTTCTCCCAACCAGGGTATGTTAAGAGCTTGTCTTAAATACAATGAAACAGCCACCTAACTCCCAAAATGGAAGTAGAAATATGCTGCCCAGTCCTAAGGACACAGAACCACACTCTGGAAAGGCCAAAACAGAGCCATAGCCAATACAAATCCCTTTTTTCAATCCCCATTGCCATAATTGCAAAGAGATGAGAAAACATAAGCAGACGGGTGCTCTGGCTGCTCACCTCATTAGCACCAAGCACTGCCGCATTGCAGCTGACATGACTTGCGTGTTTAAGCAAGCAGGCTTCAGACACACACACACACCATTTTATAGAGGCATCTCAAGCAAGAATAGAAACAAGACACTGCTAAAAACCTAAGCAGAATGAGAACATCAGGAAATGGACTACCATCTCCTTTAGCTGGTAAAGGAGTACAGACTTAGCAAGCAAAAGATTTTTAACTTATTGGTCAGATTCTATCTTACACATGTATTTTCATTTAGATGCACGCCCAATTACACCCACTGTTCGCCACTGTAATTGCATGTGTGTCCTGATCCACATGCAAGCTGTGTAACAATCATTTTAAAAAGGACTGCATTTTCTACAGAGCCCCAAAACTGCCACTGCATCTTTGTTGTGAATTAAAACTACAGTTTTCTAATTCATAATCTTTCAAAGTCTATTTTGTTGTTTTGTTTTAAAGTCACATCACACACTGAAGTTTTGCACCACGGAATCTGAAAAACAGCAGTTTAGGGAGATGTATATGCCTCACCTGAAATTCTCCTGAATACCTGCATTAGATTTGACTATCAGCCTGGTGTAAATTCAGCCAGGCCACCATCCCCCCTGGAGTGACTCTGGAAGTACAATGATGATATCAACAGAACAATCTGAGCTTTTGTTCCAGATTCAATCATTTTCTCTGGTCTGGATACTGTTCTCCATAGAACAAAAAATTTTCTCTCCCCTCATAGAAGAGTTTACAAACAAAGAGAAGAGCTACTCAATGAAATGTGTAATTTGAATCACTACTACTGACATGCGCCATAAAAATTAGCTGCAGTCTCCCAGCAACACAGTGCTGCAAACAGAAGCAGCTTTATTACAGTAAAAAGGAGAGCCAGATTCTGCCATTTTGGAACAAGCTTGTATTCAGCATTCCATCCGAAAAACAGCAGTTAACAATCAGGTTAACTGTCATTATTGCCAAGTGGGTTGATAAAATAGTATTTATTCACTATGTGCTGGAAGCAGTAACACAGAAGATATTAATGCATACAATTAATTTCTTTTCCAAAGAACCAATTAATGAATGCAAAGAGGGAGAAAGGAGAAAAGATATGTTACAGAGATATTACTTAAAGAGTGGTTAAGAAGCAATCAAAACTTTTTTTAAAAACAGAGATGAACTCTCTTTCCTTTGCAGTAATAGTACCATCTTAGACTCAGAACAGCAGTAGTAAGTTATATTCACAGTTGCCTATGGACAGTGAAGCGATCTCACAAACATACAGAAGGCAGATGTTCAGATCATACAGAAGTACCTCGACAAATAACAAGTTGGGCCATTTTCTGTCATGGGCATCCACTGAGAAAGCCACTGAAGACACAGCAGACAGCTGTACAGTCCTTTGAAGTACCGAGAGCCAGGAGAGGGAGGTTTCAGGCTTATCTAATACTACAAACTTTACCAACATATATATAACAACCATTTTACCAGTCCGGGGGGAACAATTTCTTAGGTCATCATAAACATCTGTGTATTCTTTGTCCCTGTGAGATAAAGACTCCCGAGTTAGAACATCACACTACAAAATCAGATGCAAATCCTGCACTTGAACATGACCTGTTCTTGCACTTACTACCAGCTTTCTTTATTTTATCTCTGCAAGATTAAACTCTACAAAGTGGAATATGGTAGACATTTGACATTACACACCAAACATCACAGCATTCAGACGGAAGTGCAAAACAAATATTTTCAATGTGAACTGTAATCACTTGGGAATGAACTTGACCAGTTACACTACACCCCTCAAATAAAGCTGAAAAGCTTCAAGCTTTTCTCAAAGACAGGTCAAAGCAGCACATGATAGAATTGAGTGGGTAAACACATGATTCCTCATCAGCTGGCCCAAGTGGTCCTGCTGCATTTCATTCCCAAAGAACAGCAGGTAGGCTGGAAGTGCAAAGTAGCTGGTCTCTGATAAAAAGGCTTATTTTGACCCAAACAGATTAGAAGCCATCACATGAACCCGTGAAGTCCACAGAAAATGTACACAGCATTAAACTCTAGTGAAGACAGAAAAAAAGAGTCGGAAACTTCTCTACTGTTACCAGTGAGATCAGAAAACTGGTACCTATGCCCTAAGATGTTACTTGAGACAGTAACATCTAACATAGTAGAGCTTATTTGCAGACCAAGATACTCGGGATGACAGTAGCCTCTAAATAACCTGATTTAGTACAATTTTAGGGTAGATGCACATACTTTGGAGAAAACACAGAATTCTGGAACTTCCCAACCTTCATTCATGCACACAGCCTTTTATTAGTACCTTCTGTCTCTTCCCTATGACAAATTTCTCTCATAATCACAATTTCTCAATTAAAAAGTCTCACTCTCAAGAGGGTTATCATTTAGGTGGCACACATTCAAAATTAAATGCTTCAAAATACAGACATACAAAACTGATTTATCCTGACTTAACAAATTGCTGCCCATCAGCTAAGGCTCCTAAGCTGACTGTGTGCTTGTTCCCACCCTACAGCAAAACACAAAGCAAAATGCTTGACCTTAAGCCTTAGCGAAGGGATTTTATAACAATGAATCTCCCTGCACAACTAGGACAAGCTAAGTGCCCAAATACAGGCATCGTAACAATACCCCATAAAGCCTGAAAGCCAAACACACTTCTGCAAGTCAATCACAACCACAGCCAGAGTATGTAAATTCTTAAACTGCAGCCTCACACCTTTTACAACCCATAAGCATTGGTGCTTCATCTACCCAGTTATCCCACTTTCTCATGCTTCAGAAACTCCAAGAAGCACTTCTGCATGGATGGCATTATGGATGGGTAGAAACAATCAAGATTTCAAGAAACTGTGTGCGGCTTCTGAACATCTTAATTCACACCCAAGCAGCATTTTAAATTGCTAGACATTTTTGAAACTCATTCTGTTGAATCATTCCAATCTCTACAAAAATCAGTTCATCAGCAGATTAATAGCTACTGCAAAGCAGTATCTTATGTCCAGTCTGCATGTTACAAACAATTGTACTCTCAACTGAAACAGAATAAACACAGTTTCAGGAGACAGATCTAAAATCTCAAAGATTTGCAAGGACATAAAAAAATAATTACTTTTATAGTTCTCATTCCAGCAAACATCAGACAGTTTAAAAAAATACATCTCAGTAATAGCAAATAAATTCATAAAAGAATTTTCATTCCAAATTATAATTTTGGAAAACAGCCAAAAAGAGCAAACTGAGTCACCAAGACCATGAAGTACTTAGGACTCAAATTCAAGTCTTCAAATAGAATATGTGACCATAAGAACCATAGCCAACTTCTTCAATAAAATGGTACACTACAAAGCTAAATGCTTACAGTATTTAACACACAAGCAGGAGATCTGGATAGGCTTACATGTAAATCAAATTACTCAAATCAAGTTTCTATTTTTATACAATGTGAATCATCAGTATTAACTGATAGACTATGATAGATGAAAAGACAGGCAATGTCAGAAGCTATAGCCTGGTAAAGAAACCCAAAGGACATTGACATAAGAGTAATAAAGAAACTTTCTC